AAAAATGTTCAAAGTAAATTAGAAAGTCAATGGTGCTGCAACACACTATGGACCAGCAGGAGACCGGTTCACGGCTCCTGTTCCTCAGGTTGTACCATTAATAGGATAAATACTTTAATTGGACTGGTTTCAAAATCAATAGGGAGCAAATCATTAAATCAGTTCTTTAAGGGCAAATATGGTTGATCAATGGAATAATTCTGAAGTTCATTTATTCTGAAGGTTCATTACTCCTCCTTCAGAGGATTAGATTTGCACTTGTTTCACTCATAACATTGGTTTTCAAAATTGCACAACTCACTAGTTTCTGAAAATCATAGTTACTCAACAAAATAGTGGTTACAGTTTATTTTATTAGGGAGTTTCTCTAGCCAACAACCCCCATTCACTTTATAACTGTTTGTGGAACATTGCTGTACACAAATTGGTTGCTAAATTCACCAGAAAAACAGTCACTTCACTTTACAGTATAGCACTGTGAAGTGCTTTGAGAAGTCTTATCATGAAAGGCGATATACCAAATGAAAATTAATTTAATTACGTGTGAATCAAAAAAGAAAATCTTACTAAATTCAATTTGAAGCAATTAGCATTTTTAATTCTGTCTTTTGATTTCATCAGTTATGTTTCCACTGTGCACCAGGAATGAGGAGATGTGATCTACTGACTAGACTACTACACTAGCCTCTGAACATTTCTACACATACCTCAACAAAGGTGACATGAGAGCACAAAGCTTCAAAGTCAAAGCATGTGCCTAAAAAGAGCTAACTGTAACAAAAGTTGAAGAAAAAGGCTGTCCTTATTAAGGGAGGAGCAACAAGCTGTATTTCTATGTGTAATTAGTATGGGTGAAGGAGGGAATCTACTCAATTCTTAGCTACCATCAAATGCCAATGATACTGCTTTTGAACTAGTTTATACAGAGGGCAGTGACATTGTGGAACTTGCTATCTGATCGTATAAGATCAATGGTAAATAATCATAAACATTTGAAATAGTGGTAAACTAACAAAATAATCATAGAAATAAAACAGTATAGATTTATGCCATAAATCAAGAAACATTTATTTTGTTGGACAGCCACCACCGATACAGATGGATTCAAGTGGAATACTAGACCTTCACATGAGGGAGAAGGGAATAGAAGGGTATGAAAGGGAATAAGGAGTGGGGGGAGACTCATGTTGAGGATAAACGCTGACAAGAAATGGTTGAGTCAAGTGACCTGTTTTCAGACTGTACATTCTTTGTAAATCATTACTACAATGAATTTTAAGAAATAAAATGTACGGGCATTTTCTATCGAGAGAAAAAAAATTACAAACTGTGTTCCTTCCGCAGTCCAAGGTAATTTTTAACAATTATGGACTAATATTAATCTTCTGGAATATTATACAACAATAATAATCCTTGCATTTAGGATTATTATTACTGAGACGTTCTCCCGATGTGAAAGGCTCTCTATAAATGTAATTTTGTTGTTGTTGACTACTAGACGTCTCAAAGTGCTTCACAAGATAGAGTGCAAAGTGAATTGACTGTATGGTTGTGGGCAAAACGAGGCAGCCAATTGCGCACAGCAGCGTCCCACAAACAGTCATGGATTGAAATGACCAATTTATTATTATTACTGTGCGTAATTGGCTGCCGTGTTTTGCGCACAAATATACAGTCAATTCACTTTACATCATATTCTGTGAAGCGCGTTGAGACATCTAGAAGACATGAAAAGTGCTATATCAAATGCAAGAATTATTATTATTGATTTTTTTTGAGGGATTATTATCAGGCGTGTGGAGTAAGGAAACTTATCCAAGGTTTCACCCTGCCAGGAATCAAACCCAGGTCTCTCGCTTGCAAAGCGAGTGCTCTAGCCACTGAGCTACAGAACTCCACAAACTGAGCTACAGGACTTTTACAGGACTCCATTTGGGCAAATGCAAATTGATTGATGGAGATCACAGAGGAAAAGGTGCAATAAACACCGAGCAGGCTAAAAATAATACCAGAAATATCAGATGCAGGCAAAGAATACAATACATTGAACTAACATCTGAATCAGGGCAGGAATATTATGCTTTGTGCTCCCCTATTTGCACAGCCTGACAGCAACTCCCAGCAGTGCAGAAAATTGGTTTCCCACCTGGTCAGAGTGTGGAAACGTTGTGCAAATTTACAAAAACAATTATGCTGTGACTGGGTCTGCATCAAGAAGAAAAGCTGCTTCTACCTCCAAACAACTGTGGGCAATACATTAACAGGCCCTACATAGCCTAAGGATCTTGCAAAAGGTGTCAATCATCCCTGAAACTCTCCAGACAAATGGCAAAAGCATTTAAGACTTCTAGCTGGCTCACTTGTTAATATTCCCACCTCTATCAGAAGGTTGTGGACTCAGGCCCTATGTCAGAGCTTTATACTTTCTTTATCTTCTCTACAAGGGTTTTTAGGTGATAGTCCAAGTTACAATCCGAGGCTGAAAATGGGCCAATAAGAGGCAGAGATGTAAACCACAACTCTGTTTGACTCAGTTCTATTATCCCAGATAATCAGTCCAGTAAAACAACAACAAAATTAAATTTGTATAGCGCCTTTCACATCGGGAGGACGTCCCAAGGCGCTGGACAGACAGAGTTACTGACCCGAGCTGAGAGTCGGGGATTGTAGATTGTAGTGAATAAAAACAGGCAAAACTGTCTTCCTTTGCCAAATAAGTTGAACTGTATGAACATTGCTTAAAATTTGCTTCTACACAGGTTTGGGCTACTCTCTAATGTAGTAACTGTAATTCACTTTTTTAAAAACCATGCCCTCTCTTTCACAATCTGTGAAAAAAAATCAGTTAATTGAATTTTAAAATATAAAACTATCTACTGAGGAGCCAGTGTTAAATGGCTAGCTCCCAGTTAGATCCAGAACATGTAGTGTCGTTTCCATCCATTGGCTTCAAACATTTGAAATAGATTGCTGCATTATTTTTTCCAATACAGTATTTATGCAATTCAGAAGAAATTGGTGTCTATAGAAAAACTGAACAATGTTTAAGTATTAGGGAGTAATGCATATACAGGGCCTGATTTGTTGGTATTAACACCCAGAGGCTAAATGAGAACAGAAACTGATTTCCACCTGCAATACATGCATTACGTGGGGACTTACTTGACACTTGAATGCTACCAAGCTGAACCGTCACCTGTAATCCCAAAGGGAACATTCAGGGTTCAGGTTTGCGCAACTATGGTTTACAGATCATGTAAACTCAGTGAGCGCTGTACGCCATGCACCTGACACAGAAATCCTATGGTTACAATTCACACTGTATACTGTGTACACACACATACATATTTCGGCATATTTTGTAATATGTTCTAAATCTAATTTAGTTTTACATAGAATGACAAAAACATCCTGTGCAATGGTTGATATTACACACATAGAAATAATGCATGGGTTAAAAGGACAGCTCCAGCAGAACAAGCAAAACCGGTTTTGCAAGGGCATATTATCAAGATTCAACACAGCAACAGAAGTGGAATTATCAGAATACACCTGCCACACTGATTACCCGAATCGTGGATGAGCACAAAATTAATTGATGCACATTTCCTGTCATACACTTACCATGATTACTCTCATCAGATAAACCAGAAGGTAAACGTGGGTCAAAGGCAATGCGACAAACTGGGATTTGTAAATAAGAAGTGAATGCAATCAATTCCACCATCAGAAGCTTCCGTATGAATCTTTATGGTTTGTAAAACGAAGGGGAGGGAGGAACAACTCACAATTGCAAGACAGACAGACTCGTTGTCATTGGCAAGTGCTCGAGTGGAACAATGCCTCCCTGGTGGCGGGTTTGCCAAATAGTGCCCCCTCACCCCAGCCCACAAAACCCGGGGGCACCGCACCGCACCGCACCAGCCGTTAGCATGTCCTCCTCTGGGATAATAGGAGAGAAAAACAATGCAGAAATCTTTTTTTTTGCAGGACAATCCTCTCTGCACTGGTGACAGGGATTTGAAAGGCAGAAGATGAAGTCCTCCTCACTGGGGCTCCTTGAAATGCGGTACACAGATCAGCTCACACAAGAGCCAGACATCCGCACTACTATCGGTTAACAATCTCCGGTTGGTTTCCCTCTAATTAATTAATACACTGCACATCACATTTCGACTAAATAGAAGAAAAAGGGGTCCGGAAGCAGTTTGAATTTTTTTAAAAAAATTATGCATAATTTTTTTAATATTTTAAAACCCAGCGTTTAAACAAAAAGGCTCGATTCAGTGAAGGATTCAGTCGCGCGCGGTTTACACGGCTTTCAATACATATTCACTCAGAAATTTCAATGCGAAATAAAACGCGATTATAATTACTCAAAGCAACAGAATCTCGTGCGTTTTTGTTAGTCTGTTTGTTTTGAAGCTCGGATTGTGAATAATAATAATAATGATGATGATGATCCTGGCTCGGGCAGCCTGCACAAAACATAACCTTGAGAATGCAATAACAAAGCGCCGCCGCGGCTACAGCAGGAAACCAGACGCCGACACAGAGGGAGAGAGCAAAACAAAGCAGCAAATCCCCGACACTCAGCCCCGCGCTCACAGCAGCGCCGCGCACAGAACACGGCTCAATGTGCTGACAAACAGTCACCTTCTTCACCACACAACTCCCACTCACCCCCACCCACCGTGTGCCCAGTCACCTCTTTTGATTGATGGTATTTAAAAAAAAACGTTGCATTAAAAGAGTAAAGTATGTGCGTGTGTATTATATATATATATATATATGTATTTATTGGTGGCTTCATACACAGGAGCCAGTGGCCACTATTTGGCAGGAAGCACGGCCGGGCACTACCGCGCATGCCCCGGCGCCGCTTGAGTGGTGCCCGCTCACTATTTGGCAAAACACCGGATAAGACCTGAATCCGACAGCCGCCGCGGAGAGATCACCAGTAATCAATACACATCTATATGATATCTACATCCACTCACGTGAGCTGACGGGCGGCGGACAGGGCTCGGGGGGCAGCTCATTCCGGCGCTCATTCCGGCGAGGGCGCGAGCAGCACAGGCCGATCAGCGAGTCCGCCGGCAGCGAGGCGGCGCGAGACTGACTGACTGACTGACTGACTGACGGGCAGCGCGAGCCCCGGCGCCAACCGCCAACCCAACCGCGCGCCACCCGACAACTCTCATTGGTCACCTCAGCGCCCGCCTCCCGCACCTGACACCCTGACCGCGCGCCACAGCCCGGCACCGGGCAGGCGGGAGGGAGGGAGGCAGCACCAGGCAAGGCCGGTACCGGGCAGTCAGGGCTGGCAATAAGGAGCCACGACCGGACCGGCACCAGAGAGGCAACAACAACAACTTGCATTTATCTCGTGCCGGTCACTGGCGGTGAGCGTCCGCCGGCGCTTAAAGGGGATGGAGATTTGTTTCCGGTTTCCCAAGCGGTGAGGAGAAACCCCGGTGTGAGGGGTTGGGGAGCGCTTTCCTGGGGGTAATAATCCATTAACAAAATAACTTGGTCACTCACTCCGCCACTGTGTGGGACATTGCTGTGCGCAACTGGCTGCCATGCTTTACCCACAAATATACAGTCACTACACTTACAGTATATGCTGTGAAGCGCTTTGGATCGTTTATTATTTTAGAAGCCCTGGAGGATGGAGACTGGTGATGGAGCCAGAGATAGGGAAAGGGAGCTGGGGACAAGGCTGGATAGGACAGCTGCACAATTCACACATTGCTTCCAGGAATGCTACCAGTTTGGAGCTATTCAGGTTTTGGGATTAGAACTTGTCAACAGAAATGATTCTGCAGCATAAATGTGCCTGGTGTGATAAAGCACAGGGAAAGTAATCTTCAGGAATATTGTTCAGTGAAGAGATATCCTATGAAAACATCACAAACATCTACCATTCCCTATGAAGGTCGGTTATTTTAACTGATAAAATGGACAGTATATCAATCTCCTGTATTCAAAAGAAGTTTAGTCCTTTTGTAAACCGGGCTCACGGATTATTGAACAGTGCTGGAGCAGTTGATTGCAAATGTTTATAATTTTGAAAGATGTATTTAATTGATTTTATTTTACACACTATTTCTAAGTTTGATAAAGCTTTAACCATTGTGTATCATTTCATAGAATCATAGAATTATACAGCACACAAGGATGCCATTCGGCCCATCATGTCTGTGCCGCTCTTTGAAAAGAGTTATCCATATCAACCCCACTACCCCACTCTCTCCCCATAGCCCTGATCAACCCCACTCCCCCACTCTCTCCCCATAGTCCTGATCAACCCCACTCCCCCACTCTCTCCCCATAGCCCTGATCAACCCCACTCCCCCCGCGCTCTCCCCATAGCCCTGATCAACCCCACTCCCCCCGCTCTCTCCACCAGTCTTTCAGGCAATGCATTCCAGATCCTAACAACTCTTGTGTGAAAACATTTCTCCTCCCCTCCCCTTTATTTCCTTTAACATCTATTTTAAATCGGTGTCCTCGGGTTACCAACCCACCCGCCAGGGGGAATAGTTTCTCCTGTTCACCCTATTGAATCCCCTCATCATTTTGAAAACTTCTATTAAGTCTCCTCTTAACCTTCTCTGTTCCAAGGAGAGTCATCCCAGCTTCTCTACCTCTCCTGATAACTGAAGTCCCTCATTCCTGGTACCATCCTGGTAAATCTTCTTTGCACCCTCTCCAATGCCTTGACATCCTTCCTCAAGTGTGAGACCCCACTCAAGAACTGAACACAGTCTGTAGCTGAGGCCTAACCAGTGTTTTCTGTGTTTTATAAAGGTTCATCATAACTTCCTGACTTTTGTATTCTATGCCCCTATTTATAAAGCCTTATAAAGCTGTATGCTTTTTTAACAGCTTTATCTACCTGTCCTGCCACACCTTCAAAGATTTACTTATATGACCCCCAGGTCTCTCTGTCCCTTCACCCCCTTTAAGATTGTACCATCAGCGTATATTGCCTCTCCTCATCCTTCCTTCCAAAATGCATCACTCCGCATTTCTCCACATTAAACTTCATCTGCCCCGTGTCTGCCCGTGTTACCAGTCTGTCTATGTCCATTTACAGTCTGTTACTATCCTCCTCACTGTTCACTACTTTTCCATCTTAGTATCATCTGCAAACTTGGAAATTGTACTCCCTATACCCAAGTCCAGGTCATTTATATAGATCAAAAACAGCAGTAGTCGCAATACCGACCCCGGGGGGACACCACTGCACACTTCCCTCCAGTCAGAAAAACAACTGGTCCATGCTGCCACTTACCTTTAATACCGTGGGCTTCTACTTTGCTTACAAGTCTCTTATGTGGCACTTTATCAAACGCCTTTTGAAAATCCATATAAACTACATCAACTGCACAACCTTCATCCACCCTCTCTGTTACTTCATCCAAAAATTCTTATCAGGTTTGTTAGACATGATTTGCATTTAACAAATCCATGTTGGCTGTCCTTTATTAACCCATATTTTTCTGAGTGAAAATGTATTTTGTCCCAGATTATAGTCTCTAGAAGTTTCCCCACTACTGACGTTAGGCTGATTGGCTACTGACATTAGGCTACGGATGTTTAATGACTGTTTTAATTCAGCTTTATATTTCACGCAGTTTCCCATCTTGTGAAGTTATAATCACACAAAAGTGTCAGGTGATAAGGGTGAGAGAGAAAGAGGCTACAATTTAAAAAAAAACACACATAATGATGGTCTTATATCAATAAACACTCTTATAAAATATATCCACATTAAAAGCCTTCTGATGTGTTTCTGCACTTTGAACCCAAGCAACACATATGCATCTTCTTGATTTGATGCAGGACTTGAGCATAGTTAGAGGTGCAAATATTCTCAAGATTAAAAAGAGCAATCCTTGCAAATACAATGACCATGAAATTGTCGCTTAATCATTTTTCTATTGTGGTTTCAAGCTATGTGTAAATGAGTAGCATCAGGCTGTAGATAAAATAAATGCTTTCTGACCTCCTACCACCCTGTTCGCTCCCTCCACTCAACAGGCTCCGGCCTGCTTCACGTCCCCCGCCTTGCTCGCCCCACTATCGGCGGGTGGGCCTTCCGCCACTCTGCAACTCCATACCGCAGTCCCTCCATCTCCCCGCCCTCCCTTGCCACCTTCAAGACCCACCTCAAGACTCTCCTCTTTGTACTTTTGATCTCCCTCCCTGCCCTCACCCCACCCCGACCCTCAGCTCGGGCCCGTAACCTTGTCTGTCCAGCAGCTTGGGATGTCCTTCCAACAAATGTAATGTTGTTGTTGTTGATCTATATACAGTCAAATATACAGTCAATTCACTTTACAATCTATTCTTTGAAGCGCATTTCGAAAGATATATGCTTTGCAATCTAGAAGATGTGAAAAGCACTATATCAAATACAAGGATTATTATTATTATTATTTACAGCCAAAGTGGAGAATCACTGTTTAAGCTAAATATTGCTGCACATCACTCGCATACTTACATTTTTCATGTTCAGGTTTTGAAGTACTATAATTTTTCTTTCAAGTTTTGGAGAAAACTGTGCTTAGCTCCCTCACCAATGCCCTCTGAAACTCATCATCATTATAGGAACATCCTATTTGGCAGAGACTCTAAACCGTCCATCATCCCTTATGGACTTTGTGTTGAAAATGAAAGTTACCGCTCACCCTCCTTCACCCATTATTGCTCTGTGCTCTCCCTCCCTCCCTCCCTGTTCACTTCCCACTCCCTTTCTTCCCCAATTGGTGGCTGAATTTTCAGCATCCTCCAACTCAAGAACACTTGTCCAAAATCACTGTGTGTTGCTGCAGCTCTCACTGCCTTAATAAACAATTTTTATCAAAATATGTTGTTATCTCCATTTCGAAAGATATATGCTTTGCAATCTTGCTCAGAGACTTTATTAGACAGTTCCCTTCATTGACACAGACCGTTCTCTATTGCTCTAGATTGAGACTGATCATTAAATAGTAATGGGATGGTTGCATATAACTGCCTTAAGCAGTATGCATAATCCAATTGATCCTTCATTATAATGTCCTGCATTAATTAATAACTTAATTTTAGAAGTATAGGTTTACCCTCACAGAGACGATATGATCTAGTATGTATATAAAGATCAGATTCTTCCCCTCCCCCAACCAGAACCCATGAGAAAAATCTCCAGGGTAGACACAGGAGAGAATTCAGGTGTAGAAAGAGACGATAAGAAAAGCGTCCGAAAGAATTCAGGTATAGAAAAAGAATAGCAGACCTGAAGGTATCAAGACAAATCTATACTTTTGTGAAAGGTGCAGGACTGCTGCGGTTTAAGAACATAAAAACTGCTTTAGAGACAAAATACATCCCTGTGATTTTATTTTGCTTAAATTGCAGACATTTGTCCAGCTCACAAGGCAGCATACAGCAACAACAATTTGCATTTATAAAGTGCCCTTCACGCAGGGTAGTGTCTCGGAACGCTTAACAGCCTGACGCCGAGCCAGGGGGAGGGGGCAGAGGTGATTGTAAGGACAGTTGAAGAGGAAGGTCTTCAGGCATGATCTGAAAATGGAGAAGGAGGGGACAAGGCAGTGGGATTGAGGGAGAGAGTTCCAAAGTTTCAGGCGAAGTGGCTGCAAGCAAAGCCACCGATGGTGGAACACAGGAGGCCAGAGCCAGCATAAATAATGGAACTGAAAATTGTTAATTTGCATCTGGCAAATTCCTAATAAAATTGCATTTTTTGATATCTAATTAATCATTTTCATGAACAGGTAAAATGCTTCAGGCTCCAAAATAAAGGCATGCATTAATTATTTGCAAAAATATGGATCCCGTCACAAATTATACCTGAGAATAAAGTTTTGCTTGCAGCACAATTGCAGTGCTAGTCCCAAGATTTGCAATCTACAAAACACTGAGCCATATTCCCAAAATGGCACGCCTTTTGAATTATCAATGAGCTGCCGAGCTTCAGAGCTGCAACCTGTATAATAATGCTTTCTTTAAAGCCGTGTTACCGCCACCAGCAGGTTTTTGTGAATTTGACAGTGCTCATTAAAAAATGTGCCTTAAATCCAATTAAGGTGTTTTAATATTAGAATTTTTTAATGAAAATCAG